GAAAGAGACGCAATACATACACATAGAGAGCGAAGAAAGAAAGAGAGAGAGAATGGCGCAATTTTCAGGTCAAGGTCATGATTCTTCTCTCTGTGTGTGTGTGTGTGTGTGTGTGTGGCAGAGAGGGAGGCAAATGCGAGCACTAGCAATGCGCTTTTGGTAGCGCTTGACGAGTCCTTCGCTTCAATCCCTGGCAGTAGTTGCCGCCCCCCACCTACCTCCCCCTACCCCTAGCTCAATGACGCGTGAACACATTCGCACACATACCACTTTGCATAATTTCATTCTGAATTCGCTGCGTGTGAGTGAAGCGCTTAAATCCGCCAAAAAGATACTTGCAACAAATAAAAAGAGTGTATATAGTTACACTAGTGGTGAGGGAGTGAGAGAGAGGGGAAGCCTCTGGCGCTGACATTGTTCCACGATGTGCATAAATTTCATGCTTAAATGATTTTTTATTTTTATTGAGCGTTAGATTTTCTTGAAAATTATTTATGAACAACATTAAATCTGGTCAACGGAAGGGAGTGGGGTTTGAGATAAAGAAAATTCAGAATATCACAAGAATATAATATATAATATAATATATATAATATAATATTATAATATATAATATAATATATATAATAAATATAATATATATAATATAATAATAAATAATATAATTTGGGATTTAATATCGAATAAGACAAAAATTAAATTAAATGTTAAAAAAAATTACAATTAAAGTTTTTGTTCATCAAATCCGAAAAATGCGTTTAGGCTAAGGTTATATATCAGAAAATCAACGCTGTATCACTTTCAGTATCGGTTACAAGCAGCTGATTTACTGTTTCCAGGACATTGCTGCCGCAACTCCAAAAATTGAATTGAATTTCCATTCATACTGCATTCTGCGAAGTCCACTTGCTTATGGCACTTTGAGGGGGTAGATTAAACATCTGTTACGACTGTTGCTATTCCATACTCCTCCTCCTCCCTCTTGCTGCCTTGTTATTCCACTGGCGCCACTAGGGATGTGCCAACACAATTGCATATATAATTTCTCTATAATCCCAGCACACAAGTAATAATTTGTATGCTCTTCATTGGCATGATTCTCAGCAGAATTACATTTCATACTCGTACTTTCTGTGCATTTCAAAACCCCACTTTAGCAGCTTGGTCAACTCGGAGAAGCCCATTAAACGTAATCTCTTAATGCTGCCCAGTTTTGGACGCATCCAATAAATCAAGGCTCCAGGCCGAGCACGTGCCAAACCAAACAGTTGGAGCATAAGAAAAAAGAATCCTTGTCAAACATTCATTGCCCCGACAATGAGACGCAAAGCGTTAGACTTGCATTTCATTTTCCAAAACAGAGCGAGAGAGAGATTTTTGTTGCCCCATTATGAATACATTTTTCAAGGCAAAATGTTTTGTTTGGCCACATGCTGAGGCATGCTGCTTGCTGCTGCTTGCTGCTGCGCCGCCGTGTGTCAGTTTCAATTGAGCTGAGCGAGTGGATGTGTGGGTGGGGGAACAAAGGCAGAACTCAAGGTTTTCCAACGCCGCCAACAACTCTTTGGATGGAAATAGTCGTCGTTGGCGTAGTCGTCCCCTTGCTGCCTGCCTTCTGAGTACATTTTGGGTTAGAAGTGTGTGGACCACTTGACAAAAAGTACTTTGGGGGCCGCCTCTTTAGAACGTGACTGGAATGTTGTTGTAGGCAGCGGCAGTGACGGGGGTAGGGAAGTCAAAGTCAGGGTCACAGTAACATATCAACGCTGGGGGACCTATTTTCAGGTAAATTATTTCCGTTGAGTACCTTTTCACCTTGGTATTATTTTTGTGTTGGGCTTTAGCTATGCCCCATACACTTTTAATTAATTATGTTAATTAATTATGTATATTTTATTTGGCAAGGGTACGGGACGCATGTAATGTGTCCCCGGGGCGGCATCTCCTGCCCATTAACGGTATGTTGTGGCGCATCTTTAACAAGTTGTCGGACAGAGTTGTGTGACACACATCACTAAGTAAATGCCTCCGGGTCAGTGCGGGGCCTCCGGACCGGGAACCGGGGACTGTGTGGACCTCCTCCAGCTCCAAAACGCTGTCTCCAGCAGACCTGTCATCTGGTTGTCAGTTGGCGCCATTTGTTGCTGCCCACAAACCGTTCTTTGCTGTGCGACATATTATATTTTTGTAGCACTTGACAGGCAGTCGGATAAATAGTTTTTTCCGTTTTCTAAGCAAGAGGGTGGCTCAATGTTAAAGATCTGCAAAATAAAATTGTAAATAAACCACTGATGAGGGGAGCTTATAAATATTCTTTTATTAATAGTTATTCAATGGAAAATTCAGTTCAGATAAGAAAAAAAAATTTTAGTCGTTCCAAAAATGTTTTGGGAAGTGAACAAATATGCATAAAACTCATTTATTAGGTTTGTTTACAGTCTGCATTAAATTCTTTATATTTTCGCAAAAAAAAAAAAACTATATTCAAAAATATTTTCCATAAATAAAAACCCTGACTCACCCGAATATTTCCCTGTTACTTGCATCTCGTCTGCTCTCTCATCCGTTTCATGTATGTTATGTAAGTTCTCATCTCTCGTTTCTGTGTATGTGTGTATGTCGGAGGCATGCAGCATGCACACCGCCAGCCAAAATGCCTGTGGCATGTCAGTGCTCTGCAAAATGTTAATTAAATGCTTTATTTCCCATGGCTGGAATTTTGCTTTTTATGATGACACATGCAACAAATAGAGGCAACACAGACAGACATCCACACACACACACAAGAAACACCCACACCAACACCCAACATCCAACACTCACTGAAGTGCAACAGAAATTAATGCAAAATTGGCAAGGTTGCAACATGGAAACCAAATTGCAAAAATAATATTTGCCAATTGCTTTTGTGATTTGAATTTTTGTTGTTTTCTTCTTCTTCTTTTTCAATTATAATTTATGTAACCATTGCAGAGATTACGTAGTTTGGAAAGTCTAAAGAGCAAACATTTCCTGAAGGCTAGAGTTCAAATAAAAATGATAATCTGTACCTTGTACTTAAATTTATATGTAGGAAAATATATACCTCAGTTTCTGGGTGGAAAATGTCTAAAGATACGAATAAAATACTTCCATAATCCAAGCAGATGCTACAAGCAAGTAGCAGAATAATTTTTCATGTTAAAAGTAGAACAAAATTGTATTTAAAAAACAACTTTTAACATTTCAAAATATTTCCAGCAAAGGGAACAGTTTCGAAAAAAATCTTGTAAATATGCAATTAATCCTCTAGTTTGATATGGAATATTCAACGATTTTTGTGTATTTCAAAACGTTTCAATAACTACTTTGTATCTGAGCCAGAGCATACCTGAAGTAATAAAAAATAAATTTGTTAATTTACAAAATTAACTAAAGTATTTAATACTCAAATTAATAAAATTCTTCAAGTTCCAACAATTTGCCAACAAAAAGAATCTTCCAGTGATATTAAGGACACCCCTCACAGAGTTATTTTCAAAAATTTCTTTTTTATTCTTTCAATAAGTTTTTAGTTTAATTTAAAATTTCATAGGAAACTTGTTCCTCGCAAACAAAAAAAAACCACGAAATGTGCTTCTAGAAGCCGCAAATAACTTTGCAAAAAATCCAATTACTACAACAAAAACAACAATAACAGCTAAAACAACAATAACAACAACTGCATGAGTATTACGTGTGCCAGCATGGCGGCAACAACAACACGAGTAACAACAAAATGGCTACGTTAGCCCATAAAATGGCTGCCAATATGGCAACGAGCAGCAGCAACGGCAGCAGCAAAACCAGCGAAATGCAGCAGCAGCAGCAAAAAAGCATCCATCTAATGCCAGCCGCCATAATACAGCCCGATTATCTGCTCAACAATGATCGCGGTTTATTTAAGGTTTATTGTTTTATCAAAGATTTCATTGGGTAAGTACTCGTAAACAAAAGACCAGCAAAACAGAACCAAAATGAAATGAAGAGCAAAGAGCAAAAAGCAAACAAAAAAGCGAAATTTGATAAGAAAAATTTGTGTGTTTACACTGAATGGCGTTAGCCTTGCTGCGGCTATTGACTGCAGAAAAGTGTTTACACTAAATGGCATTAAGTTAGCTGCAGCTGAAATTATTGATTGTGGAACAAAATTACTATTATAATTAAATAGCAAATAAAATACACTGATATACATATATTGTTTGAATTTTGATTTTACTTTTGTGTAAATTAAGCGAAATTATGCTTATAGTTGGATTAATACCCACCATTAAAAACTTACTAAAATATATTGTTAATTTAAGTTCAAATCCAAAATCAATGTTAATTATGATTAACACATAGAAAGCGATATAAATTGGTAGCAATATAAGCCAAAAGTTAAACTTGTTTCTTAGCGGAATAAAACGACAAAATATACACATAAATATTCATATTAATTATCATATATTTTCAACTAGCTCGCAACACATGGCACCCTGTATGTAGAGTATCTTTGTTTTTTTTTTTTTTTGTTCTGCCGGCGCTTATCATTTTTCATTCCCTCACACACACAAACAGCAACACACACTCAAATGCTGTGTGTGCCTGTGTCTTTATTTGTTCATATAATTCATATTTAATCAACTGATAATACAGAAAACATTTTCAACATTGCTTTTGTGCTGAGTTCCAACTGCCTGCCTGCCTGCCTGCTCCAATTTCTGTGCTCCTGATACACTTGCTGACATTATCACCTGCCCTGGCCAACTGGCACTGGCACGAATGATACTGCTGGCAATTTGATAACAGCAAGCCAGAGCAGACCGTCAGCCACTTGATACCCGGCCACAATAACTCGAAAAAACAAAAAAAGGTTCCTATTATCACATCAAATATTAGCAGATACACACAGTAGCTGTGGCTGTGGCTGTGGCTGGGGCATAGTTTTAGAAGTAATTAAAAAAAAATGCCAACTTGCCCTTGAGATTGCTGTTTGTTTTTGTCTGTACAAATTTTAGTCACAAAATTAACAGCATATCAAAATTTGTTTCGGGCCAAAACAATACAAAATTAGAAAATTCTAAATAAAATGGATTATGGTATTGAATCTAGTGCCATTATCGGCATTGTCCTGATCTTCTGTGCCATCATACTGTTCTATTTGGGCATAGGCTATGGCTATAAAAGTTGGTCGCAAGTAAACACGCTGTACGAGATGCCAGTGCTGCCGCGGCTGCACTCCCTAGCTCTGACACTCGGACAGCTGAAGCGCTTCAATGGCAAACGGCAAGATGGGCGAATTCTGGTGGCTTTTAAGGGCAAGATCTACGATGTATCGGGCGAATCAGAGTTTATTGTCGGCGGCAGCCTCAACTTTGTGGCTGGGACGGACTTTAGTCATTATCTAAACACAGAACTACCCTTGGAGCCCATGGAGAGGATCGAATTTGTAGAGCGCTGGGAAACCCTATTGAAAACGATTTATTCCTGTGTGGGCATCTTGATTGATTGTCAGGGTAATCCCCTGTTCATTAGGAAGAACAGAAACTGGCCAAGTAACGAAGCACTTGAAGACTTTATGGAGGATCAAACGATATTGGATTTCTGCAATGATCAATTCCAAACTAAATCGGTTGAAGCTGATGTGGAAAACTCTTCCAATAATGAAATGACCCATCAGTTGTTGAATGATATTTTGAGCGCCGAAACTTCAGCGCCACTTAAATCATTGAATAATGCTGCACCAAATCAATTGATTGACATGGATCTAGATTAAAAGCACTACAAATACATTTGGGAACATTTTTTTAAGTATAGCTGCCTTTGTTTTTGTACATTACGTATACGCAGAAACATCAATCCAGAGTCTTGACTTGCACGATTCTGGAAAAGCAGTTTCTGTCGCTATTTGGTTGGCTTTTGGCTGCGGAAATACCCTTAGTTTTACCCCAAAAAGTCTGCAACGACAAATCAGTCTAATTTAAGCCCATTTTATGCCCTTGCAATTCCCAACTGATTTTATTCGCACGATTATGAGGTTGTGGATGGTGGATTAAAATTAATGGTTTTTAAACATTTTCATTTTCATTGTAAATAGCACGCAAAGTTTTTACCCAGAAATCTCTCTCTCTCTCTCTCTCTGTTTCTCGTAGAGCTGAAGACTTGTCTAGATTCTGGTGTATTTTAGGTTCCTAGAAATCTAATTGGCAATTTGTGTATTCATTAAAATTCCTCGAAATCAATTATCTGGCTGTCGGCCCACCCCAACCCACAGTTTGTGTGTGGCCTGGGCGGCAGGCAAAACCTTTGATATTTAACTGGCAATGTCAAATTGGGCAGAGTGTTTCAATTATAAATCGCAGGGTGGTGTGCCTCTTATATGAGCTGTCATGTCAGCAGTCTGACGAAATAGGAAAAATATTCGTTGCACCCATCAACACCCACTCGGTTGAGGGCACAAAATTCGCGCTACGATGGCCAAAAATGGCCAACCAAAAAAGATGCAATTTTCCTTTTCATTTGAGTCGTTGTGCCAACACAAATTGCATTCGTGTGACGTCTTTTGGCAGAGAGACTTGTCTTTTCAAATTGCTGCAATGTATTTTTATACAGCCACGAATGCGAATACTTAAACTTAATTTGTTGCCACGCGCACCCCCCATTACGACAATTAATTAAATCAACGAATTTTATTTGGTTGAATCAATTCAAATATAAAATAATATAAGCTCTCCAAATTGATTAATTGATATTTATTTTGTTTCATTTTTTCTTTGCAGGTAAGCGTTGCCATTTCCATTTCCATTCCGAACAAAGAGACAGTAAGTTAAGGGGAATATAATTATTTAAACAAAGGTTTATGGACTCAAAGATTGATGTATCGAGTTTACCACTCTCTTAATTCAGTGTTGAGGTTCACTCTGACCCTTTTGTTTACACCCTTTAACGCTGCTTTTTAAGCCATATACAAATATTATCGTGTATTCTTTTAGACCCAACAACAAATATTAGCTTGTGGTAGCCACAATTGTTGACCCATCTGCCCCCCAACTGTAACTAAAATCCCCATGACTAATCCCCCCCGGTACTCTCGTAAGAGTCTGGCAGGCAAACTCTTTTTGCCACTCAGACAGACACAGACTGTGTGTTTGCACAACTCGATATGGTTTCATAAGAACTCCCCCTGACTGGAGGAGGACTGGACTGGCCCTGTGCTCCGAATATTGACTGTTAATTAAAAACCGCCACTCAAATATTGACTCTGCGCTGCTGTAAGTGCTGTTAAAACAAAATCGTAGCCAGGGGAACGTGACTGCAACACCTGGTTAACCACTGCAAGTGGCGGGGGAGGTAATACTTAAAGCAGACTTAAGGCATTCCTATATAATTTAAGTGGTCAGTGGCCAGCCAAGCGCGCGAGAGTTTGATCTCCTTTCTTTGGTATAGAAAACTTTCAAAGTCAATTCTTTGATGCTGCTTACAAAGCGTTCTGATGGCTCTACCTGCACTAGAAAGCCTCAAACTACGTTGACACGTGACTGGCAAGTCTAGAGATGGGTAATCATAACCCAGATAAAAGTTAAAACATAAAGAACAAAACATACAAAAATCTATTATATTGTTGAAACTGATTAAAATTGGACCATTATTAACCAGAATATAGCCTGCTGCCTTTTGCGCGCCATATATCTCTGGCTCTCTCTATTACAGTGCAGCTTCGCAGTTGAGGGTGAGTTCTAAGCTCTCTGCACAGCTCTGTTCAAGTGAGACTACATAGCTACTGGATAGACTACTACTACATCCTGCCTACTAAATCATGCCACACTTAGACCCAAACGAAAGTGACTCAACCCATTCTGAACTACGCCAAAAATATATATATCAAATGACTAAACCAAACCACGCACACACCAAAGGCTTATCGAACGACCTCCAGCAACAAGACTCTGGCTAGATTATCAGAAGCCAGATAAGACTCTTTGTACGGGCAGTCCCCTCAATGACAGCTGCCCCGTGGCCTGTGTGCCAATGCGTCTTTCGAACGCTTGCAATTAAACGCCAATTAGACATGTGTATGACTCTGCTGATATAGATATAGTCTATACAGTCGATCGAGTGCTGGCTGGCTGCTGCTGACACTGTGGGGGAAAGCAGCGAAAAAGCAGGGAAATATGCCAAGCATAAATTTCATTTCATTTCAGCTACAAAAACTATTTTCGCTGCTGCTGCTGCTGCTGCTGCTGCTGCTACCCACAGCATTTGCTCAACTCTAATGAGCCAATAAATTCCCATTACGTATACGCGCAGGTGGCCAGCTGCGGTAATTTGCTTAAATCAGAAAGCAAAGAGCGCGAATCGTTTGCATTTTCTCTCCTCCCTCTTGGCTTTTCTTTCCACTGTTGCTTGGTTATAAATTTCACGCTAACTCTCGACACTTGTCGTTGCAATCTTTTTCTTTCCCCATTTTCCATCTAATTTTTGTTTCCTTTATTCCTAATTTCCCATGCATTTGATACTTTCTTGCTGCTCTGGCTGCACTTCTGTATCCCGCAGATACATTGAAAACATGTGCCAAGTCTTAAATTTTCATTAAATCGAATATTTGTTGTGTGAATTCCGTTTTCGGGTTGGCTCTTTCCACATATTTATTTTGATTGGAGTTCGCTAGTCGAGGGGCTTATAATCAAAGTGCACACGCTTTTCCTGTCATTCGATAGTTAGTGTTTACTTATTGTGTGACGTTGGTAAAAATTCTATAGTATTTTTCGTATACTTAGCTGGGTGGGGGAGGGTATTTGGGTTGATTGGACTTGGGGGCGGCATTTGGCATTGGAAATATCGACTGCGAAAACAATAAGCGTAGTAATGATCACAGTAATTTGTATTTATACGATATTGATTTTGTAGATATTCTTCGAGAATGACGCAAAGTGATTTCAGAGTCATCTATTACGCCTCCCCATAGTCCCTTTTCTAATCATCTCTCTGCCAGTGTGGCTTAGCAGTTAAGGGTGAGCAGGCAAAGAGAGTGCAGCAAATCTTGCTCGATTGCTCTCTCGCTAGCTCTAGCACTCTCTCCCAGTGAGACTTGCACGTGTGCCACTCTCACTTCTAGTTGCCCCCGTAGTCCCTTTTCTAATCATCTCTCTGCCAGTGTGGACTAGCAGCTTAGGGTGAGTAGGCAAAGAGAGTGCAGCACCTCTTTATCGATAGCTCTAGCTCTCGCTCCCAGTGAGACTTGCACGTGTGCCACTCTCACTTCTAGTCCCATCTCTAAGCACTCATTGATCATTTGTAAATATTTATTCCCTGCCTATTCTGCTTGCTTATTCCACATGATTAATCGTTGGATTAATCGTTTGTTTCTTTGCTTTTTTCAATCTCAAGTTGTTTTGAATATTTTTGTGTTTTCATATCAGTCAACCAAAAGTAATACTTAAGAGCCTTATAATTCAAGTTAGCCCATTCATAGATTATAATCAGATAAGATACAATAAAGATAAGGTCACCTGGGGCGCGGTGTGCCTACTTTGAATTTAATTTTGTGGCACTTTTAAGTTGTATACATTTTGGAGCAACTGAATGATAGAATTTAAAAGAGACCCATACTCGTAAATTTCTTAGAAAATATGTATAAAATTGCATTGGATTACCCTTTTAGTTTTGTACACGCCGGAAATTTTCTTTACCAATTTAGCAATTGGTTAAACCCTCTTTAGTGGGTATCCCCCAAGTCGTTGCAATCGCTGATTGTAGATTTCCCTCTCATGCACTTGACATTTGCCATAAACGCACAGCCATCGTGATAATTGATGATGATTGCCGTTCAATCAGCTTCTATGGGTTTTATTTTGTCGCTTAAATATTCCACCCAACCTGAATCCCAAAAGCTGACACCCACAGCTGACGCCTGCTCTCTCTCTCTCTGTCTCTCTCTCTAGCGCTGTCCCTCGCTCTTCTATCACTCAATGCTAATTATCAGAATGCGATTAGATAGAATTCTTATGATAAGAACGAAAAGTTCTTTGATGTAATCAAAATTGTGTTATTTTTCGGCTCTTGTTGTTACGCTTCTCTATCGACTGGACTGACTTGTTGTCGGGTGTTATCGTTCATTTTGTTCTACAAAAAAAAAATCTTTTATAGCTTCGGCTGCCTGCTCGTCTGTGTAAATTTTGGTTGGTTTTGCCTATTCGTCGACGTCTTCCCCAAAAAGAAAAAAAAACACTACGGAGCGGAGAGAGAAGAAATGTATTTTTGAAAATAATTTTATTGCTGGGCTGCCATACACAAAAACGCAGCAGCCAGCAAAGCCAGCGCCAACGCCGGTGCGACGTCGCTGCTTTTGTCGACGGTCGGACGGTATTTTGGATTTTGTGTAAAAATCAGTTTTTGGTTCGAATTCAGTAAACAAAAACTTGTCGCCGGCGTGAGACGTAAACGCGAACAAAAAAGAAAAAAAAAATTATACCAAAAAAAAAGCAACGTAAAATTGTATTTGTGGTGTGAACAAAGTAGATATTTGTTTAAACAATTTGCTATAATTTAAGTTGAATGCACGACAAAGCGCAGACGAACAGAAGCACTCAGCCAGCCAGCCAGCCAGCTCTCTATCTGTTGTATCTGTATATCTTTCGGATACGCCGCCGAGCGACTCGCTCGATGACGTGCGTTAAGTGTTGTTGTTGTAGCTGCTGTTGTTGTAGCTGTACCCTGACCTTGTTACTGCCCGATTGTGAATTCTTCGGCGCTTATTTATCTGCCAGTCTGCTTTGAGTGCTGCTCTGAATGGTATCTCTATCCCTTTATGTATG